ATACCCTCTAGGTGATAGTTCTTGATTACTTTTTGATAAATAATTCGTTGTTATTGCGAAATAGGAGCACTATTTATCAATCTGTAATAAAAGACTTGAGGAAATTCTGTCTTTTTCAAAGACAAAAATTTTTTAGGCGAAATACCCAAAAAGAAGTTTGTAAAAAAATTGTTTCTTGATGTCATCTATTCAGCGCCTTTGTGGCCTACCTTTACTTTTCGTTGTTTTTCTGAGTCTCCGAAGTACAACCTTGATGGTGCATTTTTCACTGTTCTGGCGTGCAACATGCCCAACGCAGCTCCACTTTAACTCTGCCACTCGTCATATTACGGCTCTAACTCTGGGATTTCTTCTAATTTCTTGACTTCTGGGGATCTCTAAGGCAAATTCTAAAAAATTCTAATTCTAAGGGGATTCTATAGCTCTCTGAGCCACCCTCAAGCGATCAGCAAGCACTCTATCGAGTCAGTGTTGTTGTCTCCAATCCATACGTGGTCACCGGCAAAATGCATTTATCACAGACCTCTCGTTTCAGGCTCATTGGGATGTCAGTTTCATTCTTCAGTATGTGTTTAAGTTTACCGAAAACAGCTCACGTGAGTTTCACTGGTCTAGTTATATTCGCTGTTTGATTTTCTTTTCCCAGTTTGATTGTATGACCTAGATAAACGTATTTTTTGACTCTCTCTACTATCTGATTGCCTATGTTGATATGAGCATTGTCGGGTTCATTGTTTTGGTCTTGGTCATATTCATTGTCAGTCCTATACTTTTAGAATCTTCATTCAATTGATGCAACACTTCTATTGGCATGAGTACAAGTTGCTAGAAATGATGACGATGTCATCTGCAAAGCGTAATTTATTTGGAAATGATCCATCAATCTTTATTCCCTTTTGTTCCCACTGGAGTTTCTTCAAGACGCCTTCCAGAGCCAAAGTGAATAACTTTGGCGATATTGTATCTTCTTGACGTACTCCTCGATTTAATTTTAAATATATAAATCTTTATTTTCAAAGGAAAAAGGCTATTGACCCCACATTGGTCTTTCTGCCTTGATTTAATTTTATTTTGTCTGTGTGTTCCAGTCTTTAATACGTGTTTTTTTTTAATGTGTGCTTTCGTGTCTTTAATTTTTACTTGCATTGTTGCGTGTTCATATATATTTTCTATAATAGCACTATACCTAAAATCTATTCTGGCCTTGTTGAGGGCATTTAAAAAGAACCATGTTTCTATAGAATCAAATGCCTTTTGTAAATCAACAAATGCAAGGTATATGGGAATATTGTATTTAGTTGTTTTTTCTGTTAGGGTTTGCAATGTTTGTACATGGTCAGTTGTTCTGTATTCGCTTCGAAACCCGGCTTGCTCCACTGGTTGATAGAAATCTAGTTTTATTAACGGCGGATGTTGAGTATTTTAGTTAAAAGTTTATAGAAGTGTCACAGTAAGCTGATAGAACGGTAGTTTTGGAGATTTATATTATTCCCCTTCTTGAACAAAACCACCACTTCTGTATTATACCAATGATTCGATATTCTGCCATCCTGTAGACATTTGTTGAGCAAAGCATGTAGCGTTTTCTCTATCTTGCGGCCTCCAAATTTCAACATTTCCACTGTAACTTTGTCTTCTCCCGATCATTTGCCGCTCTTCATCATGCGCAGAGCTGTTCTTATTTCCGATATTTCTGGAAGGTCATCTTCCGCAGCACGTATTCCAGACAAATACAACTCCTTGTGAAATTCTTCAATGACTTGCGGAAGTTGCTGAGGGTCTGATACAACTATAACGTGTTTGTTTTTTATATTTGTCTTGACCTGAGAAATGTTTTTATTTTTTTCGATGGTGTCGCGTATCACTCTGGTTAGGTGTGATCTCATATCTCTACGGATGGCTTTCTGATGTTGGTACTGCCGGTGACAGAATTTGGCAAATTTTGGTGCTCCCAACAGATATCCAATCACTTTCTAGATTCTAAGATCTAGATGATCTATTTCAACATTCGTTTTCTAGACCGAATAACCAGTGGGCTCACAGAAAATGCACAGGAGAATTAAACAAAATATTATAAAAATAAATCAAGTGAATGAAGCTGTGCGCATCTAAGCACATTTTAATATTCAGGCCACTTAACATCGTTCTAAGGTTCTGTGTGTAAATGTGGCTTTCAATCCCGACTCTTTGTATCATCAATCTGTATAAAGATCCTTACAAATATATACTTACGCTAAAATCCCGGACATGTGAAACACTTCAGCATTGAGGTAAGCCAAATAGGCCATCACAAATATAAAAATGGGTTCAATGACGCGCACCTCATTCGTAAACCTAGTCACTAAGGCAGTGGCAAAGCCCCAAATAACTCCGATAACGGTTCCACCGAAGGCCACGACCAGAAAGTTTAGAAAGCCCGACAAAAGGTCCGTAGCCACAATATTGCTGAGGCCCATCTCCGTGTAGGACTCGAAGAGATGGTAGAGAACAACAGTGACTGCGTCGTTCAGCAACGACTCACCAAATACCACTATGTACAAGATTTCGTTGACTTGGATCTCCTCGAAAACAGCCAGAACAGCCACCGGGTCCACTGCAGATATTAACGAGCCAAACAGGAACATGTCGAGTAACGGAGTATCACAGGAATACAGGCCTGTCAGTCCCACTGCCCATAAGGAAGCACCTAAAATGAAAGAAAATGATGAGAAGCCTGGAGGAGCCACAAAAATTAAGTGAAAAAGACGTCAAAGACGGAGAAAACAGACACTTAGAGTTTGATACAGGCTGATTCAGATTAATTATTCCAGAACAGGATATCAAAATATTTGCCGATAATATTAACTGACTTACTGGATCGCATAGTCTCAGAGATAGAAAGCCTTGAAAGAGGGATCTTAGGGAACGAAATATAAAAAGGAGAATAAACAAAATAAGTAAACAATTGTTGAATCTTTATTTCGAGTCATCAGTTACGAATTCGGTCAAAGTCTAAGAACTCGGACCCTGCGAGTTCGGCAACTCGTCTCCATCCAGCACTATTTTTGCCTCAATTACTCTGAATTTAGACCAGTCCAACACGCTCAGTTCTCTTCTCTCTTCAATCTAGCTTTCTGTTAAAACTCGTATCTTCTGCCTCACTTGTTTTCAAATCATTTGTTTTTTCTTCAAAGAAGAGATGAAGATGAGCGGCATTCAACAATTTTTTTTAAATATTATACAAGGCGATCAAACTCCATCTAACATGAATTATTTAAGCTCTTCTTCTATTATTAGTCTAATATATCTGCAACGTAACACATTATTCAGATACGATTGCTTTTTGTTGCGTCTCTGAGCGTCTTACTTGCGCTTGCTCGTAATATCATATTTTTGCTTCTAACTTTTTAAAAGTTTGGGAATTTCTCATAAAATTCAATCAGCAAAAGACAGTTTGTGTCGAGCTTTTCCAAAAAGGCTCCATTAACTTTTCACGTATTTTCAACAGTTTTGGAGATTTGAGCTGTTCAATGTTCGGCAATCGTGTTCGTTTTCATAATTTGGTTCTAACTTTTTAAAGTTTAGTGATTTCTCATGAAAGTCAACCAGCAGTCTGCACAATAAGACAGTTTGTGTGCAGCTCTTTCATAAATGTTCCATTAACTTTGCACCTATTTTCTACATTTTTGGAGATTTCAGCTGTTCAATGTTTCACAATCGCGTTTGTTTCCATATTTTTGCTTGTAACTTTGTAAGGTTTGGTAATTTCTCATGAAAGTCATTCAGCAAATGACAGTTTGTATGCAGCTTTTTCAAAAAGGCTCCATTAATTTTGCACGTATTTTGAACAGTTTTGGAGATTTGAGCTGTTCAATGTTTCGCAATCGCGTTCGTTTTCATATTTTTGCTTGCAACTTTTTAAGGTTTGGTAATTTCTCATGAAAGTCAATCAGCAAAAGACAGTTTCTATGCAGCTCTTTCAAAAAGACTCCATTAACTTTGCACGTATTTTCAACAGTTGTCGAGATTTGAGCTGTTCAATGTTCGCCAATCGCGTTCGTTTTCGTATTTTTGCTTCAAACTTTTCAAAGTTTGGGAATTTGTCATGAAACTCAATCAGCAAAAGACAGTATGTGTGGAGCTCTTTCAAAAAGGTCCCATTAACTTTTCTCGTATTTTCAACAGTTTTGGATATTTGAGCTGTTCAATGTTCCGCAATCGCGTTCGTTTTCATATTTTTGCTTATAACGTTTTAAACTTTGGTAATTTATCATGAAACTCAATCAGCAACAGACAGTTAGTGTTGAGCTCTTTCAATAAAGCCCCATTAACTTTTCACGTTTTTTCAATTATTAACGGAAAGTCTTTATTTCGGTGGTATCGGTAGGATCCGTTGTAAATTGTCCATTGTCATCCTCTAATATTACAACTGCGTTGTCGACGTAGGAATTTATATCAACTTCTTGTGTACACCTTCTGTATATTTTATCCACGGGTTTTACTCCTTTATGATTTCGTCTTCGCATTACGTGTACAGACGTGTTCTATTTTCAAAATTAATGTCCCGAATTACTCCAATTCTTCTCCAACTCAATTACGTTCTACATTCTCACCAACTCTTCAAATGCTTGTGTTGGCATGGGATTTCCAACGAGTTTCCTTAATTATTTGTTAGTGTTAATTTTTGGAGTCTCAAACTTCTGGTTAATCGATGTGCTCCTAAAGGATCAAGGTTCCTATCTGAACGAACTATTCAGAACCCGGACGAAACTATACATATTAGGAAAAAAGTTTACACGACTAAACCATATTATAAATCTGAATCACCCTGGATAGTCATGTTGAACTTACCTATAAGTAATGTATTCGAAATAGTCCCTATAACAGCGAACAGCAAAATGGTACCCAGGTGGTCAAAAAACAACCTATTAGGCATAAAGTACCCGGCGTCCAAAATAATTGGAGGCAACATGTATATGAAGAACGTGTCCGGAGTGAGTGGGGACATGTGAACTGAATCTGTTAGATGGACCAACACAACGCCGATAGCTACTCCCACAAAGATCAACAGACACGACTCTGGAAACATAGCGCTCAACTTCGGCGCCATGTGGAAACCTGCAAAAAGAAAAACTCGTGTTAATGTTGAAACAGAAAACATTTTCCCTACTACGTTGACTGGAGCAATAAACATGTCTGACCCGGAGAACATTTGGAATTCGTATTATTCGCGTAACGTGAGATAAATCATATGATTCGTTATTAATCCGTGCTCTGACAATGTAATTATTCAAACTATTCGTTACTTTGATTACCATATAAAATGATATATAATAAATACAATTTCGTTTTCCTATTTAAATTAGCTTAAATCGAGACAAGAAACATTGTGTGTATATTAAAAGGGACAATGCAGGTAGGAAGCATCCAAACAGAAAGTTGGCTGCACCCGTTCTACCAAACCTTCGGGATTACATAATTCATAAAAATTATATCTATAATTTGACTCTATAACAATTTATAGATTTGTATGTACCTTTGCATATACATAAATGGGGGCATATACATAAATATAATTCTCCCACAAACAGTGTACACAGTGGCTATAAAAACCTATAAAAACATGCATAAATAATGCACGTAGATCACATGCGTACATATTGCAATTTTAAAAGATACGGTAGTTAAACGTTTAAGGAACATCAGAAATTATTAAGTTTTTTTCATGTTCGAACTGCTTATGGTATTTCCTACTACTGTTTTTAAATTCATTTTTTGATGCTTAGCGATTGCCCTCCGCTCGAATTCTTCTTAGAAGAATCATACTTCATGCAGGGGCAATTTCATTTTCTTCAGCTCCACATAAGCAGGCATGGATTAAATGAGTTGCCTGAAATTTTTACTGAAATTTTCTTGAATTGGACAATCTTTGCCATCGGAGTTCTGATTTTCTACGATTTAGAATTTCAAAGTTTGTCGATCATCAGCTCTTGTTCATTTTTCAAATCTAATCCGCAAAACTATTCACTCTGTTAAATAACGCCTTCAAGCGCTTTTTCTCGTAAGCTACTCAAAAGCTTCGCATATTCTTCCTCCCAATTACCTGTGACTGACTTAAAAAAATCGTCGAAGAAGACTTTACCACTATTTTTTCAGGCACTTGCTTTGAAAGTTGAAAGAAAGTACTCTTGGAGTAACCTTTTCCGAAATGTAACTTTTAAACTTTCAGATTTTGGCTGGCTGGTTTAAGGGATTAATTAAAAAACTTAATGTTGTATGTTGAGTGTTTTGGTTATTTATATTCAAATATCGATTTCTCAAATAATTAACTATTAAAGGCATTGAAACTTTTAATAAAGTGAAATGAGCGGTTATATTGCAATTGATGTCTACTGAATCATTAACGCTGCTTTTATTTCAACCCAATGCAGAATTTAGGAAATTGCAATTAATCTCTTATCATTATTATATGGAAAACCGTCCTATATACGACCGTCCAAACATTCAATTCAAGTGATAAAAAAGTTTGCGAATTGAACACGAATGTAACTTTCTGTTTGGAAAATGTTAAAATAAACTTTTGGATGAAGTGGGTCTTAACTCCAGAAAAATAATCTTCTCATATATTCTCAGATACTTATAATGCTCTACTTGATAGACCCTATAAATATAAAAATATCTAAAAAATTTAGGGATTAAAAATCAACAACAAGAATGTCTGTTATGTTAATAAAATGTTACTGCATTTGAGATGCAAGTGCCATTGTTAAGCCTGTATATTTTCCAGTGTCGAATTTATCTGTTTTTAGTTAGTAGAAATAAAATTTTTCGAAATTCGAAGATTCACAAAGAACAAAAATTTCACTTTCACTTCACTGAAATCAAATCGGGAATTCAAAATAACCATTTGAACAGAACGAGGCATTAACCCTAAGCGGCATTGGCATTCTCGTTGCTGCGTCTAGACGAAAACTTTCAAACACCTAAAAGCTCAAAGCGTTTACACAGAAGGAAAAGAAATGCTAGAATAACTGATTGTTTCAATCGATGTTGAATTCATATTTCAATAACTGATTGCCACTATATCTGTGTTTGTCCGATTGTAAATTGTGTAATCCTTAGCTAAAGAAACTCATTTCAGGTCTCACTAAAAGATTTCGCAACATTTTTCATATTTTTATATAAAAAAAACGAATAAGAACTACTTCAGTAATTTTTCTAGCTCTAAACACTTTCTTTTATAAGGTTCAACACATTTTTGCCAGTATTATTTCTGTAGGTATATGGTTCCATGAAAAATTGAATATTCCGATAAATTTCAGGTGCATGATAAATCTTTAATGTATGTAGAAACCTTTAAACAGCGGTTGCTATCTGCACCCTGTGGGACGATATGCAGCTGGAAAATGCGGAGCTTTGCTATAAAAAATCGATTTTCCCTGACCTCAAACTCTGCGGCAGGAAACTATGTCCCACCAATGTTATAACCGGTTATATAACAACAGCTGCTTGAAACACGTTTTCTTACTGGCCTGTTATTCCTGTTATAAAGAGATTTTATCTAAGTATTATCCAATTACTTGATTGCTTCGTTACGACGGCAACAGTAAATTAGTACCTAATGATGAAATTAATTTATCATCATAAAACATTAAATAATTAACTAATATAATGAACGAGTGAACAAGGAGCTTTCTTGAAGTATTTTAAACTCTAGAACTTTCATTTAAAATAAGTAATTAACAGTTGAATGCTCTTATCGTGCTTAGTTCTCAACATTAATCCACCTTAATTCGATTTAATTAATACACTTTTTCGAATTTGCTGCCGTTTTAGATAATACATTTTCAAATTCCGCTTTTGGAATACGCTTAAATTAAGCTTGGATTATATAAAATAATGTTTTACTTGCTATCTTTACAAATTTCGGGCAATTTTTTCAAACATGAACGAATAACCCCTAAGCAATTAAGACTCTGTCAACTGATTGTTCCGTGAAACTTGAAAAATAAGATATTTTTTTATCTATTTTTACCATCTTTAAGTCTTCTGTAAGCCGAATGGTGTTTAAAAATCAATGAATCAATCATAGAAGTAAATAAAAAAATTCAAAATCCTGCAATATTTATAACGTATATGAATGAAGAACTAAATTAAATTTAGTAGCTTTAAAAAATTTCATAATTTTACTCTTGAATCCTGTGGTTCTAATCCAGGTGGAGCAAAAGATTGTGGTTCTAATTTGCGAAATTAGTTATCATTTGTTTCATTTACATACATTAGTATACACGGAAAATAATGCTTGAAATCAGCAAATATATATTTTCATAAAATATTCGAAACATTTTACGAACGGTTAATGTCTGAAGATACTAATGGTGGAGTTCCAGATTCCTTCAGCTGACGTAAACCGAGTAGGTCGATAGTCTCGCAGATTTCTCACCCTCGCATTTTGTATTGTCGTCATCTACACAAGATGTTGCTCTGAATGAGGATATAAATGAATAAAGGCGACTGACTGGGTAGGTTTAAGTTATTTACCCACACGCTCAATTGAATATATTATCTTCATTTATTCCGAACTGAGTAGGATTTGAATGTCGTCAACTTTATAATCACCTTCCAATGAATAAAAATAATTTTTATTAAGTAGTAAAGAGCACTGTTTCTGATGAACACTTCATCTTTGGTTGCATCGGTTCTATTAAGCTCTTAGTTTTCTCTCGACTTCTCAACTTCAGGGAGTAAATTTTCCAATGGAATTGAGAAACAGCAAACTGGTATGTTTTCTAAGTATACAGGGTTTTCCGAAATGTAATGGGAAACTCGGATGCATTTTTGAAAGTCGCAGCTAAGACAAAGTAGCATTTTGAAATTTATAAACATGTTTTAGTGACCTCTAGACTCTTGATTGGGTAAAATAATGGTCTTGAATGTACACGTTTGTAAAATTCTTCTGTTTAAACAAAACACATGTTTTGTAGTTATAAATAGTTTACCAACAAGTGCATTTATCTTCTTATATACAGAGTTCACACAGAATACGGACAATATGCGAAGTTTCAGAAATATCTAAGATTTTAACTGGCATCTAAAAAATTGGAAAAGTGCCATAAAAAGCGGGTTACATGTTTGCAAATCGAACAAAGATATCAAACTGTCTTTAAAGTTAAGTGGCGCACTACAAACGTTTTCATAGGGATAAAAGGGGAAATCTGACCGCCAAAAAAGATATCATCCTGTACAACCGTTTCACACGTTGAATGGTAGAGGCTCCAAAGCAATTTCAGGTAAATATCTCGAAAACTGCAAGTTTGCGAACAAAAAAAAATAATAAAATTCCTAATTTTAACACCTTGTACCGGAAAGCTCTGCGTTTTTGGCTTATGTTTATGGGGCAAAAATACTTTACTTAATGTCCCCTACCGCTCTGTAACTAACCCAAACTGGTGAGTTTTTCGGGTTTTACAGATAAAAATACATTTTCAAAATATATGTATCTCGTACACCCTGGACATATGGCTGTCTTATTTTTAATCGTAGAAAGTTGATATTTTAGGGATTACAGGGTTGTATGTATGTCATTATTCTTCAAAATGATGGGTTGGGAATTTCCAATTTTGTGACGATATTCATCGCAATTTATGCGTTGCTCATAGAGAGGGATACTTTCGATCAATATTACCGACGTTTAAAGTAAAAGTTGTACGTTTAACACACCTTGTACGTTTAACACCAAATTTACCCCAAAATCTAAAACAGCAATCATTTCTACATACATTTAGCAGTCTTGTTTCATTTGATATTTCGGTCCGTTTTTGAGATAAATGGACGCAACGAACACTCAATTTTTATAATACGCGAAACTTAAAAGTCAAACAAATCAATTTGCACTAGCAAGCCAATAAGAGCATCCTAAAAATATTTTTTGTTGAGCGAGAAGAGAAAATTCAGCAGGAAGTACTCGTCTTTTAAGTACTGCAGCAGGTGTACGATTTGGAGAATTCTGGTAAAAAATATATTCATTTTCTTTTACTTCTATACTAAATTTGATGCCACAAGATCCTCCTGCTCGTTTAGGTTTTGCCCATCTTCTAGTAGAACTAAAAATCAACGTTGGCACTGTTTTGAAAAATGTTTTCTGCTGATGAGGCGACGTTTACTCGCCATGGAGTTTTTAACTGGCTAAATAATCACATGTGTCGGACTTTTCCTACATGCATTTAACATTTATGTTTGGTGCGGCGTTATTGGGATTTTTTTGGTGGTTTTTCCAAATTTTTGTATTGGTCGTGGGAACCCCGTTTTTGTTGGCCACTCAGAACTCCGGACTTCAATCCTCTGGAAAGAGTTTACAAAGATCCTATTGGTTCGCGTGAAGAATTGTGTCACACAGTCACAGTCACACATCATTGCTACAACGGCAAAAATGCTAAAAATGTTAATTTAGATTTTTAGTCCGTAGTTATAAGTTGTATTTCAATTTATTTATTATCCATTTAATTAGTTTTAGATTAGTTGCAAATAACTCTTGTTG